ATGTATATGTATATGTATATGCAAAGGCAAACGCATATGCATATGTATGTGTATATGTATTTGTATTTGTATTTGTATTTGTATTTGTATCTGTATATTTATTTGTATATGTATTTGTATATGTATATGTATTTGTATATGATTATATGTATGTGTATATGTATATGTAAATGTGTATGTATATGTATATGTATACGTATACGTATAAGTGTACGTATACGTATAGGTATATGTATATGTATATGTATATGTAAACGCACATACGCATATCTACGCGTATGTTTGCGCTTGCTCACATGCATGCAAGCCTGTGTGGATGTAAATATGCATGTATGCATGTCGTGATACTGTAAGGTTGAAAGGTTTCGAGGTTTTCCGGACAAGCCATGCCGAGCTCAAGCTCACGCCATGCAAAATGTGAGTTAGGTTAGGAACCCTGTGCTAGCAAGTTCTGAACCATGCATGGTATGTCCCTTCGTGTCGTATTTATGTACACCTTCACAAAAACACGTGCTGGATCGATAAACTTTGTGTAAACTCAAATAGCCAAGTGAACAAACAAGTCTATGCTTTCATGTGCGTACATACACACACATATATATATATATAGAGATAGATAGATAAATAAGATTGATATGTAGATAGATCGATAGTGGTTAGATAGGTGGGGAGATACATAGATAGATAGACAGACAGATAGATAGACAGATAGATCGAGCGATCGATCGATAGATAGATGGATAGATAGAAAGATAGATAGTTAGATGCGTAGGTAGATAGATAGATAAAATGCATATGGGTCTATCAACTTACACATACATACAAATTAAATAGGCAAAACACATAAACATATCAATGTGTAGTTGGGTAAATGAATATACAAATAGGTAAATATTCGAAAAAAAAATGTACTATGTATGTATTGTAGAGTGTATATGTGCATATACATACGTATACATACGTCTATCTTTATCTATATGCAGACATGCAAATTGTTACCACGTTGTAAAGTGCATATACAAGCGTACAAATACATAGAAATGTGGGTATAGATGCGGATAGCCGGATGCCACAACCACACCCGCGTGGCGTCAACGGACGGAGACCGTGCTAGCTTGTACATGTGTCGATACGGTTTTGCAAGGCTCAGATCCTCCCCGGAGCAAGATCCTACATAGCTGAAACATATTTCAGGATCCGGACATTTTGCGCTCTAGGCACGGACGCGATGTCGGTGGAACTGGCTGACAAATATGAAAGCAAACCGGGTCGGACTGACAACGGCTGCTTTGTTTCCCAATCACCAGATACTTCAACTTTTGCTCAAGTCCACGCCCTGGGCTTTATACATCACATCCCCATGCCTAGAAGCTCAGAAGACCAACAGGGCCATTGAGGCAAGAAATTGTAGCAAGATCTGGTTCCGCGTCGGACGGCAAAGAAGAAGGCGCCCGATTTCCACAGTCCAACCGTACCGGGAAAACGCATGGGAAACCGCGTCGCAGCCCAAATCCTAGAACTTCGCACTCGACTTTGAGCCGGCAACTCATAACACCAAAATCCAAATCTGCAACCCTAAGCCGCAACTTATGCAAACATTCTGAGTCTAAGCCCTGCATGAGTCAATGGGGTTCCAAGTTTCAACCGTCGCGCCTTGTTAAGATCCGCCGAGCTCGCTGGTCTGTGAAACGATGGCTTCTGGAGCTGGATGTGTTTGGGGTTCTTGGGTGTGGTGGTGCTGGTAAACCGGGTTTGGTTTTTCAGGATGTAAGAGCTTGTTTCCCCACGTCATCTGTTCATGGCTTTGGTCTTGTGGGCCTATGAACCCGAGAGCCTCAAGCTGCCTTCGCCCGTCTTGAAACGGCAAAGTGCTGAAAAACCGGTGGAAGTCATCAACTGTCGGCCGCTGGGTGGCATTTTGGCATGGCAATGCGTGCAAGCTCTTTCAAGACTCTGGACAGCGCCAGTTTAGTGTTCAGCATCTATCCGTAGCCAGGGCTGGAAAGCAGGACTCGTTGCTGCCCCCACTATTTTTTTCCACGCAGCTGCACCGTTGGCGCATCTATTCTGTAAAGTTTTCGAACCCGAGTAGACGGGAAATCCTAACGCCTAAACCGTAAACCGTAGACTTGGTCATGGTCTTTAGCTTCCGCATTTGTATAGCTTTGACTACACGCCTGAGCCATGAAGCACGCTTCTGGAGAGACCCGGGCAGCCGATGTGGAGAAACGATGGTCGCGGCTGATGCTGCACCTTGCTGGACAGTTAAAAGCATGCTCTGGCTCTCAGGTTGATGTAGATCCCTGACCCCATATAAGTCCTTTATTGAAAAGGATTCTGTTGGGGCTCCCACGTTTCGGTTCCTTGTGTGAGTTGCAAGAGTAGGGTCGTGCTGACGACCACATTTCAAAAGCACGAATTATTGATCCTGCATATTTGTGCTAGTGGCACAGCAGCAGTGCGTCGAGAAAGCCTTAATGGTTAGTTTTCTTGCTGTCTTGCAAAGAACCCTAAACCCTAAACTCTAAACCCTAAGCCCTAAACCCTAAACCCCAACCCGAAACCCTAAACCCGGTTTTTTGGCTTCGGTTTCCTGGCTTCTGTGGCTCAGGACTGGAGCAATGGTTTCTGGATTTTTGGCCGTTGCTGCCGTGTCCTTCGTGGGCTATGCGTCTGGGCTGCTGTTAAGGGACTTAAAGTAACTTACTATGATAAGGAAACCCTACCATATACTATATATCCCCAGTATGGTATTGTAAATTGAGTTCGTTAACCGTTAACAGCAACCCAGGGGTTCAACAAGCCATGCACATCTCCACAAGGAAGGGCAATTGGATACACCGGGTGCTTCAATTGGGCGGAGTGGGTCGCATCGGTCTTTGCCATCATGGCTGCCTTTGCCAGTATAGGTTTCATTGAACATGCTACCACCGCGGCCATCCGCAGTGCGGCCATGAAGCACAGCCGCCTGGAGGGGATCTCGTCTTTAGTGCTCCTGGGGCTACTCTGCCTCGCAGCTGCTTTGGGGGCCCTCCTCTTGCTGGCCAAGCCTTGGGAGACATACCAGACGTACGATGACGGCAGGACGAAGTCCGTCGACAAATGGACCATCGACGTTTGGATGGTGTTTCTAGGCTACAGCGCCGTCTTTGCATTCGGGCCCTTGGCACTGGCACTGGTCCTGGTGCTACAAAATGTCCTCCATCCTTGGCAGTGGGAGCCGGCTGAAACTTCGGATGTGGAAACCAGCTCTGAGGGCACTGGCAACTTTGAGCTTGAAGGCCACAACTCAGTTTCCTTGAGTAGTTCTTGCGAAGTACTCGCGCACGTCAAAAAAAGTCGAGTCGTTCGCCATGTTCATCACAATCCTAAGCCCTTTTTGCACCTGACACTTTGACTCAACACCTGCTCCAGGTAGCAGCGGCAGCACAAGCTCGGCCTCTGCAACTCCTGCCTCGACCTCGCTGTGTGCGACTTCCCGGTGCCTAAGGCTGGTCGTGATCCTAGTCTTCCTCTGGGCATGCTTCCTTTTTACAGCTGCGATGACGCCGATTTGGAACTTCTCCATGAACTCCTACTTCAAGAGTGTGCCGCGGCCGCTTTTTCGGGTAGTGGGATGCCGATGCTGCCTTAACCCGGAAGCAGGATCCTAGAGACCCGCGCTTTTCGGGGGTCTCCCTGTCTTGTCTTACTCAAAGGATCACGGCACCTAGTAAGTAGGGTTATAAGTGCTGTAATTCGGGTTGTAAGTACATATAACTATAGTTACCTTACTTATAACTCTACTTGCTAAGTCCCCTGATACTCTCAGTATCTATGTTGACATGATGAGCAAGACAGGTTTGGACCTTCTTGTACGCAGAGGCGGTTCAACAGTGCTCCACATTGGACCAGCAATCGATCCCAAGCCTAAGACCAACTTCCAAAGCCGAGGCCTAAAAAGCCACATGCCCGCCCTAACCAGTTGAAGAAGGATTATCGTTCTTTGATCTGGGATGTTTAGTAAAGCTTGAGGACTATACCGGTGATAAGGGGCAACACTAAGTCGGGTTAGACGTAGACATAACAGTATGTACATATGTGTGTATATATGTATATATGTAATATATCTGTCCATAATTGCTTTACTTATAGCCCTACTTACTAAGTCCCGTGCTCCTGTAAGCAAGGTCTCGAAGTACGCGATGTTTTACTGGCCTGTCGGCCAACTACCATGCTCGATCCTGGGGGGCAGTGGAGACTGGGCCCTCTATTTGGGAGTTTCCGAAAATAGGGGGTACCTTATAATAAGGATCCTACTATTTAGGTTCCTATAAGGGATCTTTCAGGGTACTATAGGGGTTTAGGGTTTAGGGTTTAGGGGAGTTTCCGAAAATAGGGGGTACCTTATTTTGGGGCCTCATAATTAGGATCCTACTATTCAGGATACTGTATTCGGGTCCCCTATTTTCGGAAACCCCCCATTTAAGAGTCTCCAAACCCTGAAGCCCGAAACCCCTAACTAAAACCTAAACCCTTAAACTCTAAACCCGATTAACCCCTAAAGTCCTTAACCCCTAAACCTCCAAAACGCCTAAACCCCCCTAAGACCCTAAACCCGCAACTCCTAGACCCTAACCTCTAAACCCTCTGTTGTCTCAAACTCTAATTTGTAAATGAAGGTCAAATATTTCGTCAGTACGTATCCGTATGGGTTTTCTTGACAAGTGGTGTCTTTAAATACTGTTGATGAGATAAATCCTGCATTACCTTAAGGACCCAAAGCTATGGGAAGTATGGTCTATGCGTTGCTATGGGTAGTGCAGGATTTATACCATCAACCGTAGGATCTGGCTTTCTGAGTCTTTGGAGGTTTGGATAGTCCCATGTTTGGGTATGTATACATTATACGTTTCTCGATCCCTAAACCCTAAACCCCTAAATCCTAAACTGCTAGAAGACCCTACAGCGTAAACCCCTAAACCCTAAGCCCTGCTTGAAGGATCAGGGCACTTTAGTAAATGGGGTTATAAGTACTCTAATTCGGGCTATAAGTAGATATAACTATAGCTACCTTACTTATAACTCTACTTACTAAGTCCCCTGATCCTCTAAGTAAGCCCTAAACCCCGAAACCCTAAACCCCGAAGCCCTGAACCCTGAACTTGACTTACTTTCAGTATCAACGTCCCTGTCGGACGCCGCATGTACCTGAAGAATGCTCGGCCGAGGTGTTTAGGATTTGGGGTTTAGAGTTAAGGGATTGCGGGGTTTGGGGTTTAGGGTTACGTAAGGGCTCTCAAAAGGCGTTTCAGGGATTCAAGGGGCTTAGTGTTTGGGGTACGTACTTCGAGTATATACAACCCCAACTTATCAAGTCCCCTGATCCTCTAAGATATCATAGGCAATCCCAGCAAAGCACCAACTTTAAATGTGTCGATTTCGCAATCCTTTCACCTACGGCCCTCATGGCAGATTGGTCTCTTAAGTGCGGACGAACATCGTGAGGTTCAGGGTTTAGTTTGGCCTTAGGGTTTAGGGGCCGAAGAAACACAAAGCAGCTGTGCCAAGCACAAGAGGTTTCTTCACATATTTGTCACTATGTGTGTTTGCCCTCTATTATGGGGCGAAACGACATTCCTACCAGCATGGCCGGTAAGACGATTTGGCTCTTCACATGCGCTTGCATATATGTATATCATGTATATACATACATACATAGTTGCATACACATGTGGATACCTTTTGTGCAAAGCAGAGCCACTCTTGTATCTTCGTAGACTTCCTTCGCGTCGAGCCGAGGAGAGGCAAACTGCGTGGGCCATGGCCTCTGCAGGGACCGTGGTGGGCCGACGGGAGGGATTGGTTTAAGTGTTGGGCTTCAGAGACCCTAAACCCTAAACCCAGAGTGGGGCTACAGAGTGGAAGTCCGTGAACTCGCAAGTGCCTTTCAACTAAGATGAAAATTAGTTGTTGCAGACAAGAAGTTCCGGAAGGTTGCAGCAAGGAAGCGATTAACTTGCAAATTAACGGTTTCTATATGGCCCTCCACTGCACACAATCAACTTGCAAGTTAGTGGTTTCGGCAGGGCCTGGGACCTGGTACTAATGACAAGAATACTATAAGCGGAAACTATTAAGAGGCATAGAAGCGCTAATAAGAGGAATACTAGTATTAAGATCTAAACCCTTACCCAGTGAACAATTTAACTTGCAATTTAATTGTATCTGCAGGCCTCGCAACGAATTCGCAGTTTCATTGTACCTCCAGTGCTTGTGCAAGTTAGCAACATTTGGCTTGCATTTTAATAGTGGCCCCTAAACACTCCACGCAACCCAGGTACCCAACAAATAATTTGCAAGTGAAAAGCAGGATACTTGCATTGTCAGTTTTTTTGCGATTTTGCAATAAAAACTTATAGCGTCGCTTTCTCCATGTATGTATGGGCCCTAAACTTTTGAGCCGCTAGCATGTTATGGTTCATCCGTACGTTTCTGGCTTGTTTACGTTGTCTCGAATTTTCTACCGTCTACAATTCTTCAAACTTTGCTTGCAGGTTCAATGAATGCAGATGCCGAATCAACAACCAAGTGCATCGCCGAGGTCGAGAAAAATTACAGGGCTTATGGCGTTCGTGCAAGTCGTGATCTGGCGAGTGGCCACATTTTGAGACGACCCTCGCGACCCGGAACGATAAACACTTGGAAGCATCGGTTGGTTGTGAGCACGGGAGCTAAGTACTGCCTTCATCGTGACAAAAGTTTGCGGATGTCGTTCGACGGTTGTTCCCATCGACATATTCCTCAGTCACATGCGCGACATTCCCCAGTTTGGGTCGCGTTGTGTCAGGCCGACGCGGGATTTCATCAACCGCGTGTTTGTGGCATGTGCGGATGCTTCAGCATTCTAAAACGCGTCGGGCATGATTGAATGACAAGCGCCTGAGAGGAACTGTTGCAGTTTCGAAGGGCTACAGTCAAAGGTTGTTGCTTCGGTTTTCAGAGCGTGAATGGGTTGATAAGAACGAATGCTTTTCATCATTTCATCGACTCATGAAGGTGTAATCCATGTGGTATGCCATAAGTATCTTAACCTTGTTGGAACCCAAACTTCAACTTGTAAGGGAAAGTGGGCTTCAAAGCGCAAAATCAGGAGGTTATGGAGTGCGCCCACGACATTGAGAATACAAGACATCCATACATTAGCAAACCAGTTCTTGTAACCCGGTAAAGTAATGTATACAGCCAAGGTTTAGCATAAAGCAGCACCGATTGGAGATTGTTGCTCGCCTCGTTTTCTGGCTAGGCTAGGGTTGGGCGTTACGATTGGAGCCTTCTTGATGTTATACCATGCTATACCTGTCGCGCTGGGATCGAGGCAGCCATTTAAGAACACACGTCCCGCGATAGTGGTGATGACACCGGTGTATGCTTTATCGTATGTAGTGGTTCTGGAGGTTTGCAAGCATTTAACACAGTGGCAACACGAAAGTTAAGTTGGTTCACGGCTTACAAAGGCACCCCGTTACCTCAGAGCCGGTGGACTTCTGCCACACCTCAAGCTTCCAAATGCTAGTTGCAGGTCCAAAGGCTCTCAAAATCACCCAATTATTTGTTTCCTGAACGTTAGGGGCCCATTCCCTACACGGCAGGAGATTTCACACTGGCTGCCAGGATTTCAGGTGGGAGTGGCAGCTTTGCTGCTCTTGGGGGGTGTGATTCTGGAGTTTGGGCTTGTGGCTTGGAGGTTTCGGGTCGGCACCAAATTCAACATCTTGGTCATTCGAGCGCTGCGTGGCGTTGTCATTGTTTATCCGCATCGTTCATTGCCATCTTGGCATCTTGTGTTTATTGGTGCACCTAGGTTGCATCGCATGTGGCAGCACAACAGCCCTTCTTGAGCCGTAGACCCAAGCTCTCGTGGACTGTCGCACTCACAAAGCCTGCGCTCTGAAACCAGTTCAAAACAAGAAGCATCGAACTTAGACGCTTTGGCACCCTACCTTGACGCCCGGAGCCCTGAACATATTGTACGGTCTATGGTGATGTGGCCCGTATGCAATGCAAACTAACCCTGCAAGCTTTTAAGAAATTCAGATTTTTCCAAGTCAACAGAGCCGTTCAGTTTGAGTGTATTGAGTGTGCAGGCGGGGTCCGGCATGAGAGTTTAAGCTGTCGGTTTTCCGGAGCTTCAGTCTTTAGGCTTCAGTACTTAGCTGCAGGGTGAGGGTTTAGTGTTCAGGCTCTACGGTGTGGCTTTAAGGGTTTAGGACCTCGAATTTGGGATTCACCCTGTGCCGCAAGCCAGGGGTGTGCATTCAAACGTCCATGGGAGCGGAGTTTCTCTTGAAGCCCTGAACCAGCAGCATTGAAGTTTGGCTTCAATACGGAGTATCCCTTAACTTGTGACAGGATGCAGAACTTGAAAGCACTTCGTAGACCTGATAGGCAGCACGGCAACGCCTTCTCCCATCGCATATCCTGAAGGCCGATGCCACGATTGAAGCCCAAACCCGAGGCCGAAACCCTGCACCCCAACATCCTCAGCCCAAACCCTAAACCCAAAGCCCTAAACCCTAAACCCTAAAGCCCTAAACCCTGAACCCTAAACAATAGACCCTAGACCCTGTTACCCCCCAAACTCTTCAACCTTCATCCAAGGACGCGTGCCCATGGTTCTCCTTCAAGCCCTTCCCCGACTGCGCCTTGTAGCTTCGAAGCAAATCGCAAGGGGCGCTACCTGGGACTCGCAGACTTAAAAGTTTCAAGTTAAGGGTTGAAGGGTTTAGGGTTTTGGGCTTTTGGGGCTTCGGGGGTTTCGCGGGTTTAGGGTCTACAGGGGTTTCGGGGGCTAGGGTTTGGAGTTTAGGGGATTAGAGTTTAGAGTTTCGGGGGTTTCATAAACAAGGCACCCAAACCCTAGACCCTATACTGAGGACCTATGAGGACCCCCAGCCAAACCCGGGACCCTAAATCTGTTTCTGCCTCGGGGCCGTTCTGGAGAATGCCAGCTGTTCATGCTTGGCGATTCTGCAACGTATCACCCTCTTGTTGCTTTGTTTCAAAAAGGGGGGAATTGTGGGATATCCCACCTGATGGCTTTTTTGTTTGGAGGCTTTCTGGGGCCGTATTCGAATCCCATCGTGGGGCTTGGGGGTTCGATCAAAGATCGAATCACGCCCGGTTCCCAGGAGCCCGATACCCCTGAATTAAGGAATATACCTTAAATCATAATATTAAGGCCCCTGTACTTTAAGGTCTATTCCTTAATTAAGGGGTGTTGGGCTCTCTGGGTTTCCAGAAGCTGAGAGAAGGGTCATCCCTTGGATCCCGGCTTCGAGCCCCGAAATCTCAGCCCTCGACTCACATGGGGGTAGTCCTCCAAACGAGGGTCCCCCTTTTTTTAGGCCCGCAAGAAAGGTACGGCAGCCTTATAAGATGGACCCCAGAAGGGGACCCCAATTTAGAACTTCCCCCATGACGAGTCCGGGCGATGTCAGAGAACCCAATATCCCTGAAGTAAGGAATATACCTTAAATCATAATGTTAAGGCCCCCCATAATTCAAGGTACATTCCTCAATTAAGGGGTATTGGGTTCTCTGGGATAATGAACGCTTCCAAAGATTGGCCAAACTATAAGACTCTAGCGCACTAGCACGGCTTTTTTTTGGGGGGTGCCCCTTCACCCTAAACCCTGAAGCCTGAAACCTACAGCCCCTAAACCCTAAACCCTGGGGACCCTGGGTGACATCCAGGCCTGGGGGGGTTCTGTGGAGGTCATCTCTGCTCGGGGAGGTTCGGGCTTGTCTGCGGCCCGTTTTGGGGTTTGATGCTCCCGGAGTTCGGACTCGGAGCTGTGCACCCTGGCCTTAGGGTTGAGGGTTTCAAGATCTGGGGTTTAGGGTGTAGGGGTCTGGGGTTTAGGGTTTTAAGGTCCTAAAACAAACCCCAAGCCTGAACTTTGCCCAGGGTTTAGGGTTTAGGGCCTACCGCTTGCAGGAGCAGTGATGAAGAGTGCCCAGTAGCACACGGGGCACAGACAAACACTTATTGGTTCTTGGTGGAAAAGCGTAGAGGATCATAGGACAGGGTTATAAGTAATGTAGCAAAAAGTTATATCTCCTTATAAATCTACACAATTCTAAGTAATGGCACTTGCAACCCTACTTGCAACGTCCCATGATCCTCTAAGTAAGAATGGAAGAAGTTTGTGTGGAGACTCCAAAGCAAAGCATCGAGAATTCCAGCACGGATGATCCCAGATCTATGTCCTAACTGCTTAAATTTTCCCTTTAGAGGCCTTGCCCTAACCCAAAGCCCCAAACGCTCACACCCGAAGTTAAACCCAAAGCTGCAAGAGCACTGAGGAGACCCCTCCAAGCAGGCGAGATGCAGGTTTTGGGTTGAGGTGTTGTGGGTTTAGGGCTTGGGTTTAGGTGTTAAGGGAAGTAGGGTTTGGGTTTTCGGGTTAAGATGTTTTGTGGGTGTGGATGGATAGGGTGCGTGTGGGGGGAAGATACGGGTTCAGGGGTTGAGGGTTTGGCGTCTTCTGTAGCCATGACCTCCTTGAGGTATTATGGATTCCTGACGCTCTTCGTCCTCTGCGGTGCGCTGGCGCACACGCGCCCGATCTCATGGACACTTCGCTTTTAACTTTTAACGCATGGTTAGTTTGCTAAATTAGGTTCCCTTTGTAGGTACCCAATATAGTACGGCACCCTTACTAAAAGGACCCGAAAAGGGACCCGAATTTAGGAAACCACCCACATGCTGGTGGAGTTCGGCCCCTGAGCCCTAAACGGGGGGTTTCGGCGCCGAGGGACAGAAGGAGTCGTCTACATATCCAAGGATCTTACTTGAAGGGACGCTCCGGAGACCCTACTTGGAGGATCATGGGACTTCCTCAGAAGGGTTGTGAGTAGCGTGATTGGGGATAGAAGTAGATATGTCTATGGCTACCTTACTGATAGCCCTACTTACTAAGTCCCTTGATCCTAGAATCCTAGAAGTAGGTTCAAGAATCCCCTATTTAGAGTCCTTCAGCGGGAGTGTAGGGGTTTTACAAACGCTGAAGCCCTACACCACGAACCCTAAACCCTAAACCCTAACCCCAAACCCTGAACCCTAGCCCTAAACCCTAAACCCTGAGCACTGAGCCCTAAACCCCAAACTCTGAACCTTAAGCCCTAAATCCTAAACCCTAAACCTTCAACCCTCAACCCTGCACCCTAAACCCTAATCCCTAAACTCCATTTCCAAAAAACCCCTAAACCAAGCTCTGCAGGATTCTCTGAGATCCCAATACCCAGGGAACCCAATACCCCCCTTAATTAAGGAATATACCTCAAAGTATAGGGCCCTTAATATTATGATAATATTATGATTTAAGGCATATTCCTTAATTAGCGGGTATTGGGTTCTCTGGGTATCCCCTCATTAAGGACGAGAAAAACCTTAAACCATACTACTACGCCCCCCTAGACTGTATGGTATATCCCTTAATTAAGGAGTCTGCTTTAAGCCGTTGCATGAAGGCACCCCATAGTTTTAGGGTATATTCCCTATTTTATGCACCCTATACGTCAGGGTATATCCCTTAATTAAGGCACCTAAACCCTAAACCCTAAACCTTTAGGGTATATTCCTTAAATCGAGGGGTCCTGGGATCTCTGGGAACCTCCAGGATGGCAAAACGCCACATCGCAGGCCCCAGGCGACTCCCAGGAGCTTGGGACTGCAGAGATGCGCCCCCGGTTTGGGGTTTAGGGTTTAGGTTTTTTTTTTTTTGGGTTTTTGGGGTGGCTAGTTTAGGGTTTAGGGCCTATTTAGGGTTGAGGGCTGCTGAAGCCAGTCTTTCAAGTTGCTTTTTTATTTTTTGGTTGTTGTTTTTTTGCCAGTTTTTTTTTTGAGGGTGAGGGTTTCGGGGGTTCAGAGATCAGGGTGGCTTCGGAGCTTTTAGTTTGAGAGTATTTTTTAGACCAAGAGAGCCCAATACCCCTTGATTAAGGAATATACCTTAAATCATAATACGAAGGCCCCTATACTTTAAGGCATATTGCTTAATTAAGGGGTGTTAGGCTCTTTGGGGAGTCGTGGGGGCGTTTTGCTCATCGTAGACCGGGAGGTTAAGGGCTAGGGGGGTTCGCAGTATCTCAGTTCCACGACCCTCCAGCAAGGGACCTAGGGGTTTAGGGGTTTTAAGGGGTTTTAAGGGGTTTAAGGGGTTTAAGGGGTTTAAGGGGTTTAAGGGGTTTAAGGGGTTTAGGGGTTTAGGGAAACCTCAAAGCCCAACCCCTAAATCCCTTCAGCGACGACAATGGCGATTCGGGGTTTTGCCCGGTATGGTTTAGTGTTTTCATGGAAGTTTTGGGTTCAGGGTTTGTTTTGATTCAACAATCACCTTGTGAGTTTAGTGGTTGAGTTTAAGCTTTGATCTGGTGGTTGGGTAACGGGCTTTAGGGTTAAATCTGATGTGGACCAGACTGAGCCGTCGAGGCACCTGTCACAGCCCAGAACCCTCTTGATCCTTCGACTTACAGCGAGCCCCAGAAAGTTGGAACATGGGTCTAGGATGATTAGTGTTAGGATCCCTTGTACTTTACCTTAAGAGAATGCGGATTGCAATGTTCCCTAAACCCTAAACCCCAAGCCCTAAACCCTAAACCCTACCAACTTTTATGGCTACCGCTTTTTTTCCAAAGCTGGACCTTGTGGCCTAATACCTCCACCCGTACATCCCCACGCTGAAAAAAAACCCAGACCCACCCAGCCCAGGCCCTGCGATCCTAAGCTGCAATGTTTCCGACAATAGGGGACCCTAAGATAGTACCCTAAATAGTAGGCTCCTTATTATAAGGACCCCAAAATAAGGTACCCCTAATTTATAAGGGTGCCGTCCTATATGGGACTTTGCGAAAATTAGGGGGTACCTTATTTTGGGGTCCTTATAGTAAGGATCCTACTATTTAGGGTACTATCTTAGGGTCCCGCCATTTTCGGAAACCCCCGTATCATACCAGGAGTATAGTGTAGTATAGTATAAGTATAGTATAGTATAGCATAGCACAGCATAGCATACTACAGTATAGTATAGTGTAGTATAGAATAGTATAGAATAGAATAGAATAGTATCGTACAGTATAGTATAGTATAGTATAGTACAGTATAGTATAGTATAGTATAGTATAACATAGCATAGCATCAGTATAGCATCAGTATAGTATAGTATAGTATAGTATAGTATAGTATAGTATATTATAACTGTATAACCGTAGCATAGTATAAGCAGCCGAGGTTTTCTGAACCCGTTCCCAGACGGCCTCTCGCTCCTGGAAGCTGTCATGGTGCTCATCCTCGCCCTGTTCTTCGCAGGCCAGGGCGGTGCAAAACATGCGTTTAGAAGACCCCACAGCCCTACTCTTAAGGGTACATGGAAATCGGTTCAGGGTTTAGGGTTTAGTGGAAATAATGCTTAAGTGTTGGTTCCGAATAATCTCTAAGAGACAGCAGAAGTTAGAATGTTTTGCATGGGAGCTAAGTTCAGCCGAGGACTGAGGGCGCTTGAAATTCTAAGCCCGAAACCCGGAACCCTAATGCGTTTAGAAGACAAGCTCGCAGGGAGATGGGTTGCAACTTTTCATGACATAGTCTAAAGCATGGAGCGCAGTCGCCTGACATCCTTCGAGTTCGCTAGATAATGTATACAAACGTTGTAAAACACGCCATGGCATATGACAATATGTTATGATTCTCTATAGCATATAATAGTAGATAATTACAAATGCAGCATAATTACCGCAGAAGTATAATAAAGGATAATGATTATGGTATATGACAGTGCAATATACAGTAGTATAATCTTGTGGTTCCTTCGAGTACGATTCTCCTTAGAAGGGCTCGGTTTCCTCGGGGTCAAAGCCCTTGCCCAGGATGGTTTGGCTACTGGTATTGGGGCTACGACAGGTGCCGGTGCTGGGGGGAAGGAGTTAGGGGATGTTAGGGTTAAGGGGTTCAGGGATTAGGAGTTATTGTAGGGTTTTGGGGTTTAGCAGCGGTTGTGGGAAGGTAGTTTTGTGCTCTGGAAAGGTGGCCCTTCCAATCAAGTATGCCCGGAACAGGCTAGCATGCCTAACCCACAGTACCGGTGCCATAGCTGGACGATAGCAGGATAGCAGGACCAAGTAGTATGATGTGAGAGGTGATTTCAGGTAGCTGCAGCATGGTTTGTTGCAGGGATCCAGGAAAGGCAACCTAAACTCGCAATATATGAGAGAAGGCAAGGTTGTTATTGTTTAGGATGAAAGATTGCAGGGTTTATTTTGAGGGCTTCTCTCATCCTTGGCCACGAAGGCGTGTATTTCCCCCCCCCCCGAGATATTGAAGCCAGATGTTGAAATAGCGACATCATCATCATCATCATGTCCATGCTGTTTTTACCGTGAGCTTCAGTAGTTCAAGATAGCTTGTGAGGCCCCGGCTCTTCGCTGGGTTTCAGTGCTTTTCCATATACAGGGTCTGGCCGCGTGGGTGCTGCGGGTCCTCCGTTTTTTGCGAGCACGGCTCGAGAACAAAGTTTGGCATTGAGGTCTAAAAAAGCCTTCAGTGCATAGAGTGTCTCTTGCAACAGAGTGATGCTTCGGGTCTTGGACTCCGTGAGTTTTGCTTACAGATCTGCAGCTGACGGTCGAGACAGAAGTCGTCAACAGATTCCTCCGTTTCTCACCTCGTGCCCCCTATTCCCTCACTGGATGCTTGGGGGTTGCAGAGTCTCTGCTGCCCCTCCCGTCGCTTCTGGCTGGTGTCTAGAAGGGTCACTAGAACGGCTTGCTCCCGTCTTGTTGTCCTTCGTCTCATGTTTCCTTCTGCCCCCTTCGTTGGGCATCAGGCCAAGCACCATAGATACCCAGAGAGCCCAATACCCCTTAATTACACAAAATATACCTAAAATGATAGGGCCCTTAATATTATGATTTAAGGTCTATTCCTGAATTTAGGGATATTGGGCTCCCTGGGTGCTGGAGTCTTCCTTCAGCGTTCAGTCGCACAGAGAAAGACCTGTTCTGGCTTGGGGTTTTTCACCTCAAGCTTCGAAGCCCGGGCCCTTGTAGGTTCGTACCGGCTCTAGAACTAAAGAACATGTTATAACTAAGCCCTAAGCCTTGCTTCCTGAACCCTAAACCCGAACCCCAAGCCCATGAACCTAAGGCCTAAACCCTGAACCCACATGAACCTTGAATCCAAATGCACTACAGTTGATGATATAAACCCTGCATGACCCACGACAAGGAGCATACCATAATTCCCATAGTTTAGCGTCCTTAAGGTCCTGCAGGATTTATATCATCAACAGTAAGACCCGAAACCCTCACCCCATTTGGGCCAAGGTTTCATCACATCGATGCGGCGCACGAGTGTTGGACTTCACCGGACCGGGAGGTGCCAACCCCAAACCTAAACTTTAAACCCTAAGCCATGAGTCTTGAGTCCTAAGTCTGAAACCCTGGGCTGTTAATGTAGGAACCTGATTAAGAGACCCTGGGTTCTTTATTTGGGTTCTTAATATGAATCCTAATACAATGGGGTTATAAGGCCAGGGTTTCGTAATCAGGTTCCTACAATATCCCATACTAAGAGAAAAGCCTTCAAGGCTAAACCCGAAACTCCCAAAACGTACAACATCGTTTGAAGGTCCGAAACAGAGCTGCGATAGCTTGAGTTATGCGTCCTTTGGCAAGACGTAAACCCGAAGCTGCGAGAACCTTAGAGCAGACACATTACCTTGAACACGTAAACCTTTAACCCCTAAGCTCTAAACCCTCAAACCCCTAAACCCCCAAACCCCTAAACCCTAAACCCCTAAACCCGAAGCACTAGGGCTTAAATCTAGGGTTTTGGGAGTGGTTTCTCGGCAAAAAGGCTCCTCGTCTGAACCGCAGAAAGTCCGAGAAAA